TACCATGCCTGGCTAATTTTTGTATTTTTAATAGAGACAGGGTTTTGCCATGTTGGCCAGGGCTGGTCTAGAACTCCTGACCTCGTGATCCGCCCACCTCGGCCTCCCAAAGTGCTGGGATTACAGGCGTGAGTCACCTCGCCTGGACTTGTTGCAATGCTTTTTGTGGTCTCTCTAGTAATTTGTCCCAAGGTGGCCAATACATTTTTTATTCTTCATTCGCACAAGCTCCATAACTGAGAACAAACAGGAGGCTCTGTCAGCAGGTATCCTGATGTCCTCTCAGTAATTTTTTTTTAAGTCTATGGGAAGCAGGAAATTCTTTATGGTTGAGATGAAGGGAAAAGGGGCCACATAATGGCCCAGGTGGCAAAGTCCCTCAGCTTATTAGCTGTGTAGACATCTATGTGCTTTCCTTGGTTTGGAGAGTCTGAACTAATTTTACTCCTTTAAACTGGTTCTTACAATCTCAAACACCCATCTCTTTCACATACTACTGGGGCCTAGAACGGGGATGCTTATCACTGGATAGTGTTAGCAGCTGTGTGTTGCCAATCGAAAGCCGATTGGGCCCAGTGTGACTGAAAAGATTTTAAATTTTAGCGATATCAGGAAGAGAGAGAAAAGTAATCTTCGTTATTTACTTAATTTAAGCTATTTGCTAAAAATATGTCAAAAGAAAAAGATGGTGGCCGGATGAGGTGGCCTATAATCCCAGCACTTTGGGAGGCAGAGGCGAGAGGATTGTTTGAGGTCAGGAGTTCAAGACCAGCCTGGGCAACATGGTGAAACGCTGTCTCTACTAAAAATACAAAAATTAGCTGGACGTGGTGGCACACGGCTGTAATCCAGCTATTTGGGAGGTTGAGGCAGGAGAATAGCTTGAACCAGGGAGGTGGAGGTTACAGTGAGCCGAGATTGTGCCACTGCACTCCAGCCTGGGCAACAGAGCAAGACTCCATGTCAAAAAAGAAAAGGGAGAAAAAAACGGGTATTTTTTGACTCTAGAAAATAAAACACAAAGAATCAGCAACATTGTAAACAAAAATATAATCCCTGCCTAGTTTTGACAATGACAGAAAAAGGAAGCTTACAAGTAGCTAACACTTAAATTGTCTAAATTGTCTAGTATTAAGGAATAGAACAAATTATACTAAAGTAGAGGCAAAATTAATAAATGAATTTTTTGGTTTTTTTTTTAAAATGGAATTTCACTCTTGCCCAGGCTAGAGTGCAATGGCTCAGTATTGGCTCACCGCAACCTTCGCCTCCCAGGGTCAAGGGATTCTCCTGCCTCAGCCTGTCAAGTAGCCGAGATTATAGGCATGCACCACCATGCCCGGCTAATTTTGTACTTTTTAGTAAACACGGAGTTTCTCATGTTGGTCAGGCTGGTCTTAAACTCCTGACCTCAGATGATCTGCCTGCCTTGGTCTCCCAAAGTGCTGGGATTACAGGCATAAGCCAAGGTGCCCAGCCTTTAAATGAGTCTTAATGTCTTTGAATACAGGCCGGGAGCTGTGTCTCATGAAAGCAATTTATTTTGATTGTCATCTTCCCCGGGGTCTGAAGGTGAGGCTTTGTTTGGTTAACTTGACTTTGATGTCAAATACTGGCATAAGTTGTCCAAAATCCAGCAGGACTTGGTGTCTTTTTTTAGATGAGATACTTGTGCTCAGGAGTCAACTCCCTGTGACTTAGCAGCATAAGGAGCAGTTAATAGCACCTGATAAGGAACTTTTTTTTAATGGAGCTGGAGGGAGTCCTTTAACTGATACCTCTTTTAGAATATGTGATGATTAGGCTGGAGGTGGTGATACTGGAATTTATGATCTGATTGGAAGCTGTAAACAGATTTTATAATCTTGTGGTGATTAATTTTTATAGCTTTTTTTTTTTTTTTTTTT